AGGGACAAAAATATGTAGACAATTTCTTTTCAACATTAGTTTGGTACAGTGTCGTATCAGAAGAGGGTTAGTTTGTGTTCATCAAGTATTGTGGAATAAGTTGAGTGATTTTAAACCATGCCGCGTGGTTTTGAAATTTCTTTCGATGTGAAAACTAAGATCATTGAGTTATACAAAGATCGTCAACGTCAAGTCGACGTTGCCAAAAATTTGAAGCTGAAGCGTAAAGCAGTTTGGGCAATATTGAACAAATATAAACAAAAAGGTATCTTGGAAGCCTCTAAAAGAAGTGGTCGGCCTAGAAAACTAAATGCTAGATCAATTAGATTAATAAAAGTAATTTCGTCCAAAGATCCGTTTAAAACCCCAAGAAATATAAAAGCTGAAATCGAGACAAAAGGAATTGTCAGTGTTTCTACGAAAACTATAAGTAGAAAATTGAATGATTTGAAGTTATTTTCAGGTCGCTCGAGTAAGAAGCCTAATCTCGAGGAAAAATCGTAAGGACCGATTACAATTTGCACGGTTGCATCTTGATTGGATGGAGCATATGTGACTGGAAGAGGGTAATGTTTCAGTGAGGAATCCAAGTTCAATATGTTTGGATCAGATGGTGTTCATTACGTTAGACGACCTAGTGGACAAAGATTGAACCCAAGTACACTTTGCCGACTGTCAAACATGGAGGCGGGTCTGTTATGGTTCGGGGGTGCTTTTCGGGGTTTGGGATGGGACCTTTACATAGAATAGTTGGCATTATGGATAAGTTTGTATACACAGACATGCTAAAGTATGTCATATTACCCTCTATGGAAGACAATAGGCCCTTAAGATCAATCTTCCAGCAAGATAATGACCAGAAGCACACTTCAAATCTCGCAAAGAAATTCTTTCTGGATGAAAAAATACCAGTTCTTGAATGGCCTTCACAGTCTCCCGATATAAACCTCATTGAAAATCTATGGGAACACTTAGATACGCAAATCCGAGATAAAAATTATTCAAACATGTATGAACTTGTTGCCGCTTTAGTGCAAAAGTAGAGACAGATTGATGAATCTTATATCAAGAAACTTCTACAATCTATGTAGAGACGATACAAGGCGGTGATTGATAATAATGGCTATGCTACAAAATATAATTTTTCTATAATTGTTTTACTTTGTCTATATACTTTTGTCCATTACTGTATATAAAGTAGAACCGAAACGCGCATTTTTTTTTTAAATCCCAGAAAAAAGAAAAGGATGTGATAAACTATCGCTTGTTCAGTGAAGAGCAACTCATTAATTCTTTTACTTTTATCTTGATGTATTTATTGTCTTCCTATTCAACAGTCTCCAAATTATTCAAATGGGGCGTCCATTTTACAAAAAGTAATTTCTGTGTTGTGGATTATTCGATTTTGCATCTCGTCGTGGCTTTCCGAACGTACTTATGGGCAAGCTTGGCAACAGTATAAATTTCAAAACTTCCTTCAACTTTGCCCTTAATAAAGCAAGCCGGCTACATCTTGGCAACCACCAAACCTAGAGTTATCGGTTAAAAAAATTCATAACGAAAGTGGCCAAGAGAGATTGCTAAAATTATTTTCAACTTCGTAAAATGAGCACTAGGGGCATAACTCTAACTTAAAAATTAGAAATGTTTTTTTGAGAACATTGATAATTAACGTATATTTAAAATAACTCCGTTTTATAGCATTCGTGCTTAGCAACCTTTTTTGTTAACATCATTTTTTCTTAGGTATATTGTTTGATAATGGGTTCCAAGGTCATTTCAGATAAAGCCGTGTAACTTAATTAGCATTATCAATGTTCATGGTCTGGTTTCATTTAAAATGCATGATTCTGACTGATGTCAAGTCTTGATAGTTTGTTCGTTTTCATTCGTTAGTTGGCGCTCAATGACAAATCGGTCGTTAATTTTCAAATGCATTGGTATTATTTCTCATTATTCGGCAAGTGCATGACAAATCCTACAAACTAATCAAACTGCATGTCGTTATCTTAATTATTCCGCGGAGTGGGGAATACTGGCTCTACTGCAGCCTCACGTACCAAACTTTTTACCTATTGTCAACAAATGTCAACAATTACGTTGAATAAAATTCTCTTTTATTTAAAGTCTTATAGTTTTCGAGATTTTCAACATTCAGTTTTTTTTTAAACACTGGCTTATATTCAGCTAATCCCGTGCCACTTCTACAAATATCAACTTTTTGGAACCAGTATTTTATCTCGCCCAGCATTATTTTTTCTTGAGATGGCGAAGAACTCATGTCAATGTCTTAGTTATTATTAAAACCCCTTCTTACGTCTGAGTTTGACACACTGTAGACTGAGATCATCCAGTACGATCACGGTGCCAATTTGTCGAAAAAGTTGGCAAACAATTAGCAATTTTTAAATGGTATTATGGCTGCTGTTTTTTTTTTCGCTTTATTACAGTTATAATGGAAGACGGTCAGTTTTCGTTGATATCGGAAAATAAGAATATATGGCTTGGATGCAAAAAAACGGCCAGGATTGATGTTATATCGTAATTTACATCTAAGATATAAATGTAATAAGCACCATTGACTGCTATGCATGACCTACATTTTGTCATAAACATTTTTTTCAACCTACTAAATATAGCCGCTTGAATGCTCGAGGTTGCCTCAATTTTGGATCTCAATTCTGTTACTGTGGCCAGCACAGATTGGTATACAAATTCTCTAATACAAAAATTTAGTGGATTCAGGTCCAACGATCTTGGTTGCAATAAAATAAGACCGCGCAGCCCGATCCACCTGTATGAATGTTGCATTTTTGTAACTGAAGTGGTCTCGATCTGACCGAGTGTGATGTACCGAAGTATTATTTAGTATCATTATGTTGCAGAAGATGTGTTTGCCTTATTTACAGACGTAAGATGTTTTTTCTTAGAAACGCAGACTTCAGACAAAATTCGATATGGGCTTCTCCTACTTCAAGTACATGATGCTGTTGTGGATAAAACACTCAATTATGATAATACATCAATACATCACTTCACCCAGAACCTCCTCGTTGACATCCATCCGAGGTCTACATTGTTTTTAGTTAATATGTATCTAACTAACCTCATCTGCAGTTATTGGAGACAGACTGGTTATTCCCTAGCTATATCACAATAAATTTTTCTGTTTTTTCAAAAACATAGCATAGTTATTCCTAACAATAATCCAATCAAAGTTCATGTTTTTCCAAATTTCTAATTATATTTGGCACTATTGTAAGGTACAATAGTGCCAAATATAATTATATATATATATATATATATGACTTCAAAGTTGAGTCATTTATTTTAACAGTGAGTAGATCTGATCAAAAGAAATGTTTTTTCCTTTACCATTTTTCTGGTAAAATTAAAGTAACAAAGTTATAGCCCTTTGGAAGTTTGAGTACCGCCCTGTCTCAATAATAATATTATGTGCTCGTGTTTGGCAACAACGGATATAATCCGCCTTATCGGTTCATCGCATCGGAAACAAAAAAGCGAAAGAATTTGGAACGATGTTTTTACAATTATTTTATTCAGTTGTATACAGTCAGTGTCAGTCGGTAACGCGTGAGTGAATAGTGGTGTCTGTTGCGTGGCTCAAACGAAATAAAAAATGGCACATGTTTATGCGGATCGGTTTCCCAATCGAGTGCAACCAACCCCTCGTGCTTTTGTTAATGTAGTACAACGGGCTCGTGAATCAGGTGACTTAAAACCTCACAGGGGACGGCATGCCGGTGCTCCAAGACCTCACGATCAAATACAGGTCCGCACTGAAATACTTGTCGGGAGGATACTTTATAAAACAAGGCAAATTTTTTTTTATTTTTTTTTTATTTTTACACACATATTTTGGTTTATCTTCCTTCTACAATCATTATCTAAAAATTAATGACTCAACTTCAAAGTCACCCTGTATATATATATATATATATATATCTAGTACTTCGTCAATATTTTCTTCCAACCTTATATCACAACCATCACGTACATTTTTTTCCTGTATTTTCCTTCCAGGACCAAAAACACTTAACCTTATTATCGGACCTATTTATCGCAATTTCCACCACCAAGTTCTCGTACTCAGTTGCTGATGCTCTACAAGTTCTTGTCATGGTTTTTGAAAACATTGAAAATGAGTGGCCTCGATCAGTTTTCCAAAGTCGACTCGAAAAACCACAGCAAACAAATAACGACATATCAGGTATGGCACACAGACCTGAGTCTCTGTAGGTTTTTTACTTCGTGGTTTATTAATATTATCCAATATTCCTGCTTGCAACTCGTCGGAACTGTCAAAATTAGTATCTGTTTACTGTCATTATAACATCAACAGAGAGATATATAGGGTATCCTGAAATTCATTTGCTGCCCAGTGTACTATAGTTGTAGTCACCGTTCTTGGCAGTCACGTCATCAATGATCAATCATGAAATAAGTAAACAGATCGAGTCTCCGTATCATGGGCGGATATTAATCTTCGGCGTATCTGCTACTCTCTCTAGTACGCTTGAAGTGGGTAACAGGGGACCGCTGTTTCCATTATCTTCCAGGAAATACTCTAATAAATTTAGGACGAGCTGTCGATATTCTCCATTGATCGTATTTCCGGGCATTGTACAATTTTATATTGAAGATTGATAACAGGACAACTCGAATTTCACGCCGATGTCAAGTAAGTTGTCACTCTGAAAAATATGATTGAAGGGCACTCATACGTAATGACAAAGTTTTCGATACGGAGACACATAACTAAAAAACGTATGTCTTTGTGCTTACCGAACAAACATTCAAACACAGGGGTAGGTTGCATGTGTATGCATGAGGAAGGTGGAGGTATATGTAGTAAGTCTTACTTTGACCCGCCAAGAACGGTGACTACAACTATAACTCATTCCATGGTCGACATTTTTGAGTTCACCCCCAGTCCATGAGTTTAATCTCATATCTCTAGTCTTCATAGTACACTTATGTTTTTTCACGTCATTTTGACAAGCGTCCATCAAAAATCTTGTCCATGGCAAAGAGCTTAACAATTTTGTTAGTTTCTGTTATAATTCTTCAAGTTCGCTCCGAAATTATAGCTTTGGATAAATCGAATTTCGAAACGGCAAAATCGTCGAAACCGCTCATGCTGGTAGAGTTCTACGCGCCATGGTGTCACTACTGTAAAGAGTTCGCCCCTGAATACGAAAAAGCCTCAGAAATATTAGCAAGGAAAGGTTTACCCGTTACTGTGGCTAAAGTGGATGCTACTGTAGAGACAGATCTGGCTGATGCTAACGGCGTGCAAGGGTACCCAACAATCAAGCTATTCAAGCATGGACAACCAGTTAGGTATGAAGGACAGAGACAAGCTGATAGCTTGGTCATGTGGTTGGATACGGTGGCTTCGGGTGGTAAATAAGTTATTTGTATAACGTGCTAATATATTCGTATGTTTCAAAACTAAACATCGATGTAATTATTCGATCCTAACCAAAAACTCTTTTTTCACCTTTTTCTGACTGGCACAAAGATCCAGTATACTCGTATTGCTAATAGTCTAAGATCCGTAGGGGTTTTACGTAAGATCTTACTTAATGTCAAAAAAATCTATCGTAATGTCAAATTATTCACCAGATCAAATGATCTAGAGCCGCTACTGCACATCTAGTGCATACCGCTCATAGCATGAAAGCCTTTTTTACACCTAAGCAGCCGCGCAAGCACAAGCCTAAATACCAGGGCACCGCCGCTGCTATGAGGAGCTTAAAGCTCGATTGCTAGTGTAACATGTGGAACTTATCCTGTGGTGTACATGTCGATAACTCCCTATGCTTGTATCACCAATAAAAGCACATGTATTGACAGATCTTTCATGTAATATAAATGTTTCAATCACAAAGATGATCTTACTACATACTAAAAATTGAATTTAAGCTAAAAATTGATAACATTGTTTTTTAGTCATATCTATACACATCATCAAATAATCAGATGAAAAGAACTTAGAATACTGCTCCAAACAAGCAGTTGAAATAAGGGACATGTAACCTTAAGCATAAACACTTGAGCAGCTCTTCTGAGAGCAAATGCCTTTGTGACAATTGAAGAGCAGGCTTTGGGATACGTCTCACGATTCAGCTCTAGGAAGGTATTTTTACAATGACACACCAATATACGGGTTGTTTCAAATTCTACACTCACCATTGGGATCTCAGAAACGGTAAAAGATACGAAGTCGCTTAAATGGGACAAAGTTGGGTATTTAGGTAACTAACAAAATGCCGACTAAAAAGTTCCGGGATTCAAAGTATTTCCGAAGAAAGACGGAACAAACCGAAATTTACGAAAATCGTTTTAATTTTCTTTCATTTTCGTTTGCTAACTTTATTTGAAGTGGGATGACAAAATAATTTGCACTAGAACAGTGCCATTTGTTCTTTTTCACAAGTTGGTATAATTAGAATTTCAATACTTATGATAGTTCGTCTCTTGACCTCCAGCATCAAATTTATTTTTTCTTAGAGACACCATATTGGATTTTTACACAGGGAAATAGAGTATATAATTTTGATACCAAAAATGTATAATATGCCATACATTAGCATTGCCAAAACTTTCAGAAAAAATAATTTCCTAGGTAGGCTCCTCCAAGTTGTCAGATTTTGTTTCGTATAACAGACCAGACCTCAAATTGAACATATCAACAGAGATTGGAAGACACAGAAGAAGAGAAATAAACTGAGCACTGAGCAATATACAGAGAAGTGTCAGGCCTTACCTACAAAATAACGGACAAGGTTTTGAACATCTACTACTATGATTTACCTCTGCTTATTTATAATTATTATTATTTCCATGAATAAAATTTTTATTTCATGTTCAGGTTTCCCCATACCTTTTTCTATCCTTACAATTTTCATTCCAATAACAAATTCATGGCTAACTAAGGAAATATATCACTGAATTTAGAACTGAAAACTTCATTTAAATGTAAAAAATGGAATTCGAGAGAAGAAACCTCGAATTGAAAATTTGACTACCCATTTTGTAGAGGAGATAAATTGATAACAATATCATGTAATTTACTTTAAAATACTATCTGAAGTAAAGTCAGGAAAAATAAACAAATCTGCTATATGAAACAAATGACTATCTGATAATTTCACGGCTACCGAGGAAATTCCTGTTTTTTTTAACTTAACTAAGGTTTAGCAATGCCGATGTATGACATATATATTTTTGGAATCAGGATTAAAAACTATATTCACCTGTACAAAAATCCAATATAGCGTCCACAAGAAAAAATAAAATTGATGCTGGAGGACAAGAGACGAAACGTGATAATGTAATTCTAATTACCTATGCCATTTTATATAGGAGAAAAAGTGTCAATGTTAATGTGCAATTTATTTTAAAATCCCATTATAAATAAAGTCAGGAAAAATTAAACGATTTTGAGAAAATTCGGTTTTTACGTCTCTACCCAAAAGCACTTTGAATCTCAAAACTTTCAAAGCGGCATGTTGTTGGTTACGTAAATACGCAACTTTGGGCCTGTTTCAGCAACTGCGTATCTCTTACTGTTTCCGAGATCCCACTCGTGGGGGTTACCATTTTCGTCCTTGCTACTACATGATTATTATTGGACTATGCAAAATCTCTTCTCCATATTAACTATAGATAATGAAACAAGGAAGAGTCGTCCGCGAGCCACCAAGCTGGTACGTACGATCAGCTGTCGATGCGAGGATCCCATCGAGCGAACCGGGGTGGAAAACTGGAATTACACGGGACGAGATGACGGGCAATGGAAAAAGGGATATTAGATCGGGAACGCGAACGAGTGTCAACGACCTGCTGATGCTGTTCAGGAACGCGTGCTGCTTAATCAGATGCCACTACTCATGATTTGCTCATTCGGCCATTTTGTAAAAAGCCAAGCTGATCATAGGATAATAAGCTGGAAAATTGTAAATACCGTGGTTTCAAAGAGCCTCTGAAATACATGGTGGTTCAGGAAGATAGATAGAGTTTTTCTGCTTTCATTCCAAATGACTGTATGCCCTTAGTATATGGAAACAAATGGCGTTAAGCAGATTGACTCTACTGTTCCCACGAATCGCAATAATCAGTTCATAAAGGATTGTGTTCAGCACATGTTGGACCTTCTAAAAAAAGTTAGTTAGGAGCAACTATAACAGAGAAATTAAACAGATTATATCAGTCAAATAGGCTCAGACAATTAGTCCATAGACATTCTTCCCTGCGCTAACGGTAGTCCATCTGGCAACGTCGTTTTACCCCGATACCTGATGGCACAACGCCTGGCAGCACGGCAGTAAGGCCAGAACACTCAACTAAACCAGTATGCTCGGCAGTGATCCGAGACAGCACAATCAGCGACGCATAACGAAAGCATTTCTCTATCATTCTGACTTAGGGGACGCGGAAATCTACGATGTGTGAAATATATCTAAAAGGTGCGTAAGATTGCCGAGATTGGGAGCGTATAAGCATACTGAAATAAAAAAAAAACATGGGTTGACCACAGAATGATAAGCTAGTGTCAATCACTAGAAACTGACGCTGTTCCGGTACGCGTGATGTTTAGTCAGATTGCACTACTCATGATTGGCTAATTCATTTTGTTTTAATCACAGAATAATAAAGGTAAATGACGTACACTGAGTATGTTCAAAAAGACTTTACTACTTATGCTTTTCGGCTCGTAGAAATCGAGTTACGTATTGAAAAAATCTTTTATTAATTAATATTTGTTGCAAATTGTATCTTGTCGATCAAGTGTGCGACCACTCTTGTTGGATCATAGAAAGTATCTTCTACTTTAATCTTCCAGGTGGCTATTTTCAACACAATGGACCAGCAAGAAGATATTGTCAAAAATGTTTTGGATGTTATATGACATGTATATCCACGTCATTCATTTTCGTCGGTCTGTCTGTCTGTCCGTTAATCCTTGGCCCGTCCATAATGCGGATATTGATGAAACTTTCACACAGTGTTACTAGGATGCCAAGGACCAAAAAGCTTTATACGTTTTGAAGAACGATCCTGTGGCAGCGGAACTAGAGGCAGGAAAAGAATAAATAAAAATCGCGCAAACATTGTTTTTGAGGTTTCAGACTTATGATCATTTTCAGAAAAAACAATGCAGTGATTAAAAATTTGAGGGTGACCCACCTCTCACACATACGAGGTATGTTCAGCAAGTAACGAGAATATACGGTTTTTGAAAAAATATTTATTCGTCTACATTAATGTTGCAGCCTTCAAAATAATCCCCACTAGATATTATGCACTTGCGCCAGCGCTTCTTCCAATCCTCACAACAGCTCTGAAAGTCGATCTTTGGGATAGCGTTTAGCTCTTTCAGTAATACAATGGCCCTTCAAGCTTATTTTTGGAAACAGGAAAAGTCACACGGAGCCATGTTTTGGCCAAGCAAAGAAGTGTGAAGTGTGAGCAGGTGGTGCAAAAAGCTAATTGTTTTTCCCAAAAGTCCGGACTTTTTTTTATTGCTTTATGCGTTGAACTCGTTACCTTATTGAACGTCTGACCTCGGGGCAACAATTGATGCATGCACTATGTCATTAAAATCGAAGAACATACTGAGCATAACCTTCACGATTGACCGCACTTATCGAGCTTTTTTCGGTCTTGGCGAGCTAGGACGCCTCCACTGGGACGATTGAGCCTTAGGTTCGACGTCATACCCATACACCCATATTTCGGTACCTGTTATAACACGTTTTTGTTCAAGATTCAACAATTTTGGAGCAGATTTTGCTGCCCAAAACATTCCAAAAAATTTCTGGCATGAGCCAATCAATACGCAAACGTCATTACCGCCGAATCCGATTGTGATTCGGCGATCGTTCATGACCATTTATTTCATTCTATTTTTTCACGTTTTCATCAGTGTTCATGTGCTCGGGCATCCTTGGTGTTCGTTATCTTCAATTTCTTCACTGCTATCTCGGAAACGGTTATACCACTCGTATACTATTGTTTCACTCATAGCAAGCTCACTAAAGGCGTTTGTTGAAATTTCACAAACTTGTTGTTGTTATTTCATTTCATACGCTAACTTTGATACACATTTTTTAATCCATTTCTTTTAACAACCGAATATAGCCGAGCTCATAATAACGCGTCCAACCTTATCGGCTGCCAGAGAAAATTTTAACACGCTTCAACATAATAAAAAAATATTGACAATCGTACTCTCCAAAAACGCGAAATTTAAAAACGTTGTTATTTTCTGAACACACCTCCTATTTCGCATATACAGAGCAATCCATGTACCACTGGACGAGAAAGAAGCGCGAGAAACGTGCAATACGTATGTTAGAAAGATATAGAAACACCACGTCGCCTAGCAACGCGAGTGGCGAGGCCACGGACATACCTGCGGCTTGCCGCGTTGCCAACTGCGTACTCTTTCTAACATATGTAAGGCACGCTTCTCGCGCGTCTCTCTGGTACACGTCAGTGATATTTGGACTTTTCTGTACATCTACGTCTAGTACTATAGCAGCATCAGCTACCCAGGAAAATGCGATATCTTTTACCTAGAGAGGGTCCAATCCGAATTTAGCATCGCAGCGGCATCGGTGTCGTCGACGACGCGCGACGATGTAATGATACAAGGGTGTTATCCTGATAGTATGCACCATGTATTGTCAAAGCAGACTATTTAAAAAAATATTAACTTAACAATTCAATTGTATTCATTCCATAACATCACTATCTGGAATGATTTCCATCAACGGCTAATAGTAAAGATGCCAGACCGAGCGAAATTTGACTCAGATATGGTACATATTCAATACTGAGTTGTAAATAAAATCACACCGTACAAAACTTTACTTAGATACGATATAAGCTTCATATTCAAATTTCATTTGTACGGAATTGCGTGGAAAGTTTAGAGACAATCTACTGTTGATGTAATTTTTTTCGATTAGTTACTCAAGTGGCAAAGATTTGACGTGCCGCAGCAAAAACTTAAAACATTACCTCGAGATCTATGAATATATAAGTTTTAAATCTTCCATGTAAAACTGAACTGAATGGGTGGCATACACTTTTGCTGTCTTTTGCACATACTATCTCCTTTTAACTTATGAATTCGATCAAGGGTTAGACATCGTCAACCATATACGAGCCCCTTCCCACTTCAGTTGGCCCACTTTGTAGATTTGTACCAAAATATGCCTTTATAAACTAAACATGACGAAACTATTTACTTCTAAAACTATTTATTTTCTCAAAAACATTTTAGATACACTCTAGTCGTAAAAAATACATATTTGAAGTCACTTAGACCTATAACTAATAGAACATCTGAACAAATAAACAATGTGCGAATAAATGCAAAAGTTAACAAAGCAACAATTGAAAGATTACCATTGGGTAACAACACCTTTATTTTTTATTACGGCTGAAATTCTTTGGGGCATAGTGTTAACCAAGTTTTGGCGAAAATTTGGTGTAAAACAATCCCATATTTCTTGAAGCTCTTGTCTCAGTTCGGTGATTGTACGAGCAGGATGTTGTAGAACCTTTTTCATCTCGTGTCACACAGTTTCAATAGGTGACAGATCTGGACTGCTAGAAACCCATTTCAAAAGTGGTACATTATTTTCTTCCATCCATTTTATAGCCTTTTTTGAGGTATGGCACGCTGCACCATCTTGCTGAAACACAAAATCTTGGCTGGATGTCAAACATTCTTCCATCACTGGTAAAAGCGATTCTTCTAAAATTGCCAAATATTTATTTGTATCCACATTTCCATCAATAAAATGAAGTTTTCCTACTCCTTTTGATGACACACTGCCCCAGACCATAATGGATGTTGGAAATTTCACTTTTCTCTTGAGACAGTCAACATGGAAAGCTTCATTTTTTTGCGAATAACTCTACTGCGACTGTCACCAACACAAACTTCGAATCGGGCCTCATCACTCCATTGTATTGCACACCATTGTTGAGGTGTTCATTGTCTATGTTCTTTAGCCCATCTAAGCCGATTTTTCTTTTGCAGTGGAGTTAATAGTGGCTTTTCCTTGATCTATAAACAAGATGTGCAACTCTGGGGGTTTTTACTTCACATTTTTTTATAAGAAAACTTACTTTGCAAGTGCTAAATCCCAGTTTGTGAGCCTCTCTATGAGTTGTGGTCCTCGAAATTCTCCTTCCAACAGCGTCACTCCACAGAGCACTTAATTGTAAATAATTGGCACGCCTGTTCTGCAAGATTATTCTTCTTAATGCTCTTCGGTCGGCATTTGTGAAATTACTTTTTTTCGCATATCGTGGCTTAATATTAACTGAACCAGTTATATATATATCTTCTAACAATATTTCTCATACTGTACCGCGATAAGTCTAACAAAGTTGCAATTTCTGAGTTTGATTTCCCAGAATTAAAAAACTTAATTATCAGTAACCGAATTTTCTCACTAATAACCTTTCCTCTACCCATTTTGAAAACCTTAACTACCCAAAACTATTTTAAACGTATTCTGACAGCTGTGATTAATAAAAACAATTGCCATGGCTTTTATTTTTCACAGCCACCTATGCGTTATAGACTTATTTTGCATTGAAATAAAAAAAGGTTGATATGCTGTAGTTGCAACATGTGTTATTTTTATGCTGCAAATTTGATTAGGGAGTGATAAAGTTGGTGTTTTCTACTATATATTATCAAAATATTCATTGTTAATATTTTAAACCTATAACACCCTGCTACATTTTTAGTATTTGTGTTTGATAAGAAAAAAACTACGATTTTAATAGTCGGGCCAAATGAAGTGGGGAGGGGCTCGTAGCTGTGGTAGTCAGTTACAGAGTAACTGACGTACACATACTGCGGAAAAATGTTTCACTCCATCTAATGCCAGCGTTCATTGAACCTTTCCAGACTAGACTTTGTCCTGAATTTTTCCGCACTGCACCTACGCACTCGCAATGCGTGAAATCCGTCTAATGGGCGAGAACTGGATTGCTGGATAGTAATGATGGCTAGTGACCGGCCGCTGTAAACAATTAATGCCCATTTGCCCATTAGCCAGCTAGTGGTAACCGTCCGGGAGGAGTGGGATCGCATTTGGCACGCGCTGTCGGCCAAGGGGTCGTTGACACTTTTTTCTCTGCTTTTCAAGGAGCTTTTCATGTTACGCAGACGGATATAATTAGCTTTTTTCGTATCGTCGATTTTATGAGGTTACAGGGGATTGGCCCGAAAAACTAAGCGCTCTTATATAATAATAAACAAATTTATTCACAATTACAACCAGTAATTACAGTAACTCATTTAAGCAATCAAATTAATTGCAAAAAGGAGCAACATACAGAAGGAAACTGATAAAAGTGTTGACCCAATTGAGACAAAAAATAATGAACATTATACTGTGAGAAGCATAATACAGGGTGGCCCATAAGTCCTTTGAGCTGGAAAAAAAGGAATAAAACCAAACTAGTTACATTATGAAGAATTATTATATTTTGTTATCATCTTTATTGAATGGGAATTATGTTTTAAAAATCACATCGTCTAAATGCAATCCATTACGATCACGGCACTCATATAAACGACGTCTAAAATTGTCGGTGACTGCGCGGCAAGTCAACACTGTAATGCTTGCCATTTCTCTTCGGATATTATCTTTCAGGACATCAACTGATCGCGGAGTGGTGTCGTACACTTTACTCTTGAGGTAGCCCCATAAAAAGAAGTCCATTGGGGTCAAATCTGGACTACGTGGTGGCCAGGAAATGTCTCCTCTTCGAGAAATTACTTTGCTGGGAAAAAGTTGACAGACGACGGGCATAGAAGTGTTGGAGGTGTGGGCAGTTGCTCCGTCCTGTTGAAACCAGGTCTGCGTATTATAGCCTGGAAAATTCTGCAACGCTGGTGTCAAAAACTCTTCTATCATTGCTACATACCGCTCCGAAGTAACAGTTAATGCGCGACCTCTGTCGTCCTCAAAAAAATAAGGGCCTACGATGCCATGCGCTGACATAGCAGCCCAAACTGTAAGTTTAGGGCTGTGTAAGGGCTTCTGATGCTTACGCCTTGGATTTTCGGGGCACCAATAACGGCAATTTTGTTTATTTACAT